TAAGTCAGGTGAATGTAAGCCTGTTTTCTGTTTCTGTGGTGACCTTAACAGAAGAGTTACAGTCTCATAGGGCAACAGGACAGCATGTCACAACATAATAAAAATATGACCCTGTTAATACCAACATCAATTCTTCTGCAAAAGTTTTCAGTTAAATTTATCTAAAAGTTTTACCCTATACAGACTCTGTGGCTCTAATAAGGCGGCCTCTGCCTAGCACTCCTGGCTAATAATTAACAACTATTTCATTGTTACAATACTAGGGCTAAGCTCTTATTTTTCTAGATCTATATTAACAATGGTTACCATAGCACAGCCTTAGCACACTAAAAGCAAAAACACAGCAAGCAAATGTTAACCCAATAACCACTTTTATAATAATATTTCTTATATTTTTTAATAAAACTCCTTCATCCCTCAAAAATGCTCTATGTCTATTAGGGCTTTTATATAATCAGGTTCTTTATGCTATTTTATGATTAAAATATCATAAGCGATCATGCATATTAGTACCAAGGGCATAAATGCATTTGACTAACAAACTACCAGCAAAGGAGCTCAAATTAAAACACTCCTTTCGCCCTAAATAATCTCATAAAATACCACCACCCAAAAAACTTATAGATTAAATTCTAAATTAATTCTTATTCGGAAAGAAATCTGGGAAGGTCTTCTGCCTGTATTACAGAAATTAGGGAGTAGTTTGTTAAAGCAAGCATCAGAAGAATAGATACCATCTTTAAGGTGAGCACCGGGGGCAGCTTTGGGACAGCTTTTCGAAATCCCTGAATACCTGATCCGCCTTGCCCATCAGGCTTTCTCCCCATGACCTTGTCATGGGTGGGATCTCGTGTGCTGGCTCCTGGCACCCTTCCTTGCTTGATGGCCTTAGCCATCCCCTGGCCAGCCCCCAGCGTATAAAGCATTGCATTGCAAAAGTTAAACCAGAGTTGTATTTTTGTGCGCAAACTGATGATACCACTTTGTGGCTTTCGATTATAAGCAGAAACCCTGAAAACTGCAATTTGAAGTCTCACCCATGGGGTGGATGCACAGCCAGGGACCTTTTCCCAACTGGGACTCCAGATAGCTGTTATTCGGGACTTCCCAGCGCTGTTCAGGGCTTCCCAGGTGGCACTAGTGCTAAAGTATCCAGCTGCCAATGCAGGAGATGTAAGAGATGCAGGTTCAATCCCTGGGTTGGGAAGATCCCCTGAAGGGCATGGAAACCCACTCCAGTGTTCTTGCCTGAAGAATCGCATGGACAGAGGAGCATGACATGATTGCAAAGACTCGGACACCACGGAAACGACTTACCACGCATACACAGGACTGTTCGAGTCTGGATGTAGGCTGTCAGCCCAGTTTGGTGATGGATACACTGTTAATTCTCTCTGTTGTTTCTATTTCTCTTCTTTTAATGACCGCACATTGAAATCAAACCAGATGATCCTCTATTAAACATTGAAATTGTTTATCGTGTATAGCAAGTGGTTTCTTTTGTTAATGAATCCTTCAAACCTGAAACGAAAGTAAAACTTGCAGCGAAACGGTGTCTCGTGTTTAGAGAATTCGCTTCAAATGTAGGAATGATGTCGACAAAGTTTGTCTTCGTGACCCCACCCAGTTGGTCCCTGCTGCTAACCCTGACAGAAGGTCTGATCCTCACTCAGGAATAAAAGGACATTTTCTTTCCCCACTTGTCCCCAGACAGGGGGCTGGTTTTTTCTCTTTCCATTTCAAAGGACTCAGCACTCCGTGGAAAGCACAAGTAAACAGAGCCTGTTAGGCATGGATCAAGCATTCTGAATTTCCAGCCAGTGATTTGGAACCATCAACAAGGAGCCTGATCTGGGTTCTAAACACAGCTTACGTCATTTGTGAACTTGGGATTCTTACAAGTCAGTGTTTTCTTTCGCTGTGCTTTATTTTTGAAAATAATCCTTCTTTCAAATGTTGGGAATACTATATTGGCAAAAATACATTTAGAAAGCACGTCACAACCCATGTCCGGGTCACTTAACAGAAGTCAGTTTTGACACACACAACAACTCACCCAGGGCCAGACCGCAGGGCAGCCACTAAACGTCCCCCTGGGTTAGTGCGTTCCGTCCTGCTGACGCCTCAGCTCCAACACAGAAGGAGAGGGTGCTCACCTCCTCACCGCAAGTTCTACCGTGACATTTGCACCATTAATAGGATTGTTTCTAAGTGAATTTTCCAGCATCGTCTGAACTGACTGACTCATAAAACGCTAGAGAATATCTGCCTGATGTCTGTGGTGGAGATGCATGCGGATTGATTTAACCATGTCTTTTAAAAATCAGATTGCAGTGAAGGAGCCAAGAAAGGCTTTCTCTAAATAGTCCACTGGGGGCTCAGATGCATAACAAAAAAAGACTTACCCTAATGGTGAGACCATCCATGATTATGTCAATTGCTTACTGATTGACGTTAATTAAACGGACATTTACCAAACATCAGTAATGCAAAATTCGAGACTAGTCCAGGGATAGAACTTGTGGCCTCCAATGGAGGGCAGGAAATAAGTTCCAGGCAGCCATCTATATCTGTCTGGCTTCCTTAGAGACAGTGAACCCTGGGATATTTCCCACAAACAGAAGTAATCCAGATGACGCAGAGCATGTTTGGTTAGCAACCCACAGTATTTACAAGCTTTTCAGATCTGATGGCCCAGCAGTACTTCCAGAGAAACTGCAGCAGCCACACCCAGAGATTTGGTTGTGAAACGAGCTCAAGTCCTGGTCTTTCTGAAAGACACAGCCCAGGTGGGCAGCAGACAGCACATGAGGCCATGGACACAGAGCCGGACCCCTCACATGGACAGGATGCCTGTGACCTTGCCTTTTGCCCATGTGTGTGTGTGTGTGTGTGTGCGCGCGCGTGCACGCTTAGTCATATCCAACCAGTTGCAACCCCGTGGACATGGACTGTAGACCGCCAGGCTCCTCAATCCGTGGGATTTCCCAGGCAGGAATATTGGAGTGGCTTGCCACTTCCTTCTCCAGGGGGTCTTCTCGACTCAGGGATGGAACCCACATCTCCTGCTTTACCTAGAGAGCAGGCGGACTTTTTACCAGTGTGCACCTGGGAAGTGACAGGTCATCAAAGAAGCAGGTTTCCCTCTGCTCAAAGATGGCAAATGATGAGACCGCACCCTCTTTGGGGCACTTGTTCAGTCACTAAGTCGTATCTGACTCTGCGACCCCATGGCCTGCAGCACACCAGACTTCCCTGTCCTTCACTATCTCCTGGAGTTTGCTCAGGCTCATAACCATTGAGTCAGTGATGTCATCCAACCATCTCATCCTCTTTCATCCCCTGCTCCTCCCGCTTCAATCTTACCCAGCATCAGGGTCTTTTCAAATGAGTCAGCTCTTCGCATCAGGTGGCCAGAGTACCGGAGCTTCAGCTTCAGCATCAGTGCCTCCCATGAATATTCAGGGATGATCTCCTCTAGGATGGACTGGTTGGATCTCCCTGCTGTCCAGGGGACTCTCAGAGTCTCTCCAGACCACAGCTCAAAAGCGCCTCGCAGGTTCCAACCCCAGAGTCCCCCATGTCTTCTCTTCCAGGACAGTCTGGGGAGGACCCCGAGCTCCACCCAAGCAGGACAACCCACTCCCACCACGCTCCCTGCTCCTAGATTTACTGCAAAGACCTCAGCTTCCTTGAGCGCTTTTGGAGACTGAGGCAAACAACCTGCCTTCTTTCCAACTAGCAGAGGTTCAGGCAGCGACACTGGAACAGGTTTCTCTGGGGGGGTCACCCAGCTCTCCTTCTAGATGTGCAGGGGCCACGCGCTACACAGACTCCTCACCCCCACTGGCTGTCTTTCCCTCAGTGCGACCATGACCTGCAAGCGGGGCAAACCCAGGGTGCTTCAATACCCGCCTGATGCTGACGTTTCTGTGTCCCTGCTCGAGTTCTTAGGAAAACCCAGCAAGAATGTACTGCCTGCTGGCCAAGTTAATAACTGACTGTAAGGGGAAGACAGAGAGATGCAGCCAGGCACAGCTCTCCTCCCAGGAGACAGTTTTCTACCCTGCAGCTCGAAGGCCGGGAGCCCTTCCCGAGACGTGCCAGGCAGCCAGGCGGAGTTCGCACCCTGAGGGCCTGTGACCTCAGCACAGGAAGGCCAGGACCACTCCACGTCACAGCAGACAACCTGAGGCTCCCCCACGAGGCTCCTCTAGGGCTCGTGGGCCGGCCTAATACACAGTAAAGTTCATCAGGAATAAAGAACCACTCTCGACACCTCAGCCTTCACCCCCTCACACATGAGCTGGGAAATTATTATGATGAGTAATCACTACCGCCAAGGGTTCTCAGAGGAATGGAGAGGCAGAGTGAAACACAAAGGCGCCCGGCAGGACCTCACCACCTTCTGGGTGACTCCTGCACACGTTCCTCTGTCTGCTCTAGAAACGTCCCTGGGGACCGGACAGACTCGGGTGGATGTTCCTGAGTCGCTGCTCGTCTAGGCTAACTCGCACCTAAGCATCGCTGCAGGTAAAAAGCCCACGCCTTTGCACCCTCTTTGCACATTTCCACTTATCCCCTGACTCAGCTGGAAAGCACGGTGGTGTATCATTGACTTGAAATACCTATTAACCTACCCTTCTCACCAACAAACAGCTGTAAGTTTTAGTACAAACATCAGTGCTCTCAAACTGAGATAGCGCTCGGCTGCTGAGATCTCAAGCAATCGTTACCATTTCCTAAGCAAACATAAAACTATTAAGACAGAAGTTTAATGGTCACGTCCAGGATATGAACTGGAGAAGGATCACACAAGAAACACCTCGGTGAAGGAGACCTCAGCTCCGCCCTCTGCGTCTGGGCAGCCCCAGTCGCTCCCGAGGCAGCAGGCGTCTGCACCCGCGTCCACCCCACCCTCCCACGGGCAGGCCTGGAGAAGGGGGTCTGCAGCCGGGTGAGCGGACAGGACACGGGAAAGAACCCCTCTCCTGGCTCACCTGGGCCACCTGGGCAGCGGTGTCCCCTTTGGCTCCCAGGAGGACCATGGCCAGGACCGAGGAGAGGCTCACGGGAGAAAAAAACACGTTGTCTGAAGGGTCGTCTTCACACAGGGCCTTTAAGAGGCGGAGGGCGAAGGTGCCATTTGCTTCACAGAGCGCGTCCATGAGACCGGGCCTGGAGTCTGAGACTGGAGAGAAAAGGCCCTCAGTAACCGCAAATCCCATCCCCCTGGCACAGGACACTGTCCTTTCAGGGTGGAACGCAAAACAGTCTACGGAGCATCCGTGTACGGCTGCTTTCCATCCTAATAGGAAGTCCAAGGTTAAGGGCACTAACTACGTGTGGTCCCGGCAGCAGGTCAAGCGGCTGAGCGCCTCGGGGAATGAACAGCAATGGCTAATGGGGCCACGCGCACACACAAGCAAACGTACACACACACTGCTGGGCTCCTGGGAGCAGTGAAGTCCAGTCCTTTCCCATTGAGAAGTGGGAGGAAAGTGCCAGACAGGAGCAGGGGAGAGACCCCACGTGAGAGCCTTATCGGCGCTCTGCCAGGTCCCCACAAGGCCCCGTGTATTCTTGCACATACTCCTGGGGAATCCCTGGGAGATGTTCAGTTATGAACCAGCCCAGGTCTCCCCATTTTCCAGCTGATAGCTGAGAAGTGTTTGAGAAGCTGAACTGAAGCCAGAGAGGCTGCAATCCGGGAGGAACTGGGCTGTGAAGCGAGGAATTTCCACCCACAGTGGCTGCTCCGTCCGACCCGGCTCAGGGCACCTGCCCTCTGCTCCCCGGCGCCCAGGGACCCTCGGACACGGCGCGTCGGGCCCAGACACTGTGCTTTTATTTTGCAGTTCGTTTTCTCACCAGAACCAGGATTTGAAGCTTCCCTCCTTTCTTCCGTCAACATCCTCCAGCGGAGACCGAGCCTGACACTGGAAGCCACGTTCTGAGGGACACAGGAGAGGAAAGGACTAAAGACAGTGGTTCGGGAGAGGACAGTCGGGGTGACGGGGTGCAGCCTGGGTGAGCACTGAGGCCGTGGGAGAGGCAGGGGAGGTCAGAGGGGTCAGGCAGGTGGGCGGGGTGCCCCCAGCCCACCTGTTGCCATCCTTCCTTGGTAGCGAGACCCTCACTCACACCACGGCTGGCCTCAGGCCCTGAGGACCCCGTGTCCTCCCGGCCCGCTCCAGCCGCCCGCAGCCACCACCAAGCCTCGCCTCCCGTCTCCTTAAAGCTGTCCAGCCAGGCTGGCCCTGACCCTGCGTCTGGTCTGGCCCACATTCTCCCTGCTGCCGCTCGGAGCCTGAGAACAGGAGTGTCCCCACTCCCCACCTGTTCCCGCCACTGCAGCAGACAGAGGCGGTCCTGACCCTTCACTCGGGCTCTCGCCTGGCCCGGCCCTGGGGCTCAAACACACTTGGCCAACAGGGCTCATCCTCCTGCCGGACCGGAGAGCCCCTTCAGCCCCTCCGAGGCCCTGTGACCTCTGAAAGCTCTGCTTACCCAGCTCCCCATCCTTCAACCAGGCAGTCACCCTTCTGCCTCCAGGCGGCAGCGCAGCGGCTTCTGGGTCCCCACCTTCTAGACGCGCGCTGAGCCCGAGTCCCGCCGGCGCTCCCCTTCAGCTCTCTCGCGCGCGCGGGAGGGGCTCACCTGCCTCCTCAGCTCCAGAAGCTCACGGCTCCGGACACGGAGTGGCCTCGGTCCGGAGGGCCCAGGAACACGGCCCGAAGGGCGGGGCCGCCTCCAACCCCGCCCCGCCCACAACTTCCAGGTTCCGCCCACCGCCCTGGGCGCTCCAGTTCTGCAGGAACCCAGGCCTCCAGAATGAGGGGGTCAGGGTGGGCGGGCCCAGGCCTCAGGAATGCGGGTGGGGGTCAGGGTGGGCGGACCCAGGCCTCCAGGATGCGGACTTTTTTCAAAGTCTTTATTACATGGTCTGACTTTCAGTTCTAGTGAAGAAACAGAGTTGGTTTCTGGCAAGCGCACCCCAGCAAGTCTGGGTAACCCATCAGAGCACCATCTCCCACCACCACCAAGGTCTGTCCCTCTTGGCCTCCTAACTGTCAGCCCAGTGAGTCCTGTCTGGGTATTGTTAGCAAGCGACCGTGCCTGCAGCTCTGCCTGCGGGCTCTCAGATGCCTTTTCTCAGCAGCCTTCAAAGAGCAACGCTGAGCATGGCCCTGTCCTGCAAGGTTTCAGAACTCTGAAGGCCTTTCTCCCTCTAAATGTGTTTCCTCCGTGAGTGCTGCATCCTTGCATAATGAAGACTGTCAACTCAAACAGCAGGGACGTCTCGGCGTCTCCCACGAGCGTGGCCCTGGGCAGGGCGCTGGGCACTTGGCTGAGGACACGACCTCCGAGCTGGGGTGCCTCCCAGGTGATGAGAGACCAGAAGTGCTCAGAGGTCCTTCCTAGATGTTATGAGAAAACGTCTAGATGGTGGCAGCCACACACAATTCCCCAAGAAAGTCCCAGCAGACACTTCACTCCGGACGGCCTTTATGCAGGAGCCTCCGTGTTCTGCATGGTTCCCACTAGGTGACCGGCCTTGCTGCTGCTGCTAAGTTGCTCCAGTCGTGTCCAGCTCTGCGGCTCCATAGATGGCAGCCCACCAGGCTCCACCGGCCCTGGGATTCTCCAGGCAAGAATACTGGAGTGCGTTACCATTTCCTTCTCCACTAGGTGACTGGCCTTAGGACAGCCTCATTCTTGTCACTTGATTTTGTGTCCGTAGCATCAACTGTAGGCAGTGTCTGGACACATTTCTAAAGGGATGGTGAGGCTTCCTGGGGGATGCGATTATGCACAAATGTTAAAGCTCTTCGGCCAGACGCAGAGGGAAACAGCATTTTAGATGCGGCTCATCCCGGAGATGTCAGAGAACAGGTCCTCTGAGAATGACCTGGGTGGTCCCGGGAGGTGGTGGTGAGGGGCATGGGGATGTGTCCTGGAGGGGATTGAGGAACAGACAGTGGAAGGAAGGAGCCTTGAAACCCACGCCAGGCCAGATCGGGAAGGGCCTGCACCCAGCACACGGAACCCAGAGAAGGCGCCCGGGGGTTCCGGCGTTCCGCACGTAAAGTGCTGGGCAGTCGGCTGCCCGGGTCCGTGCACCTCCTGAGTGTGACTTCAGTTCCCCGGATTTGTCCCAGCTTGGAACCTCTCACATGTAAGTGGCTTTTCCACCTGGAAAACTGCTCAGATCCTAAATGCAGAAGACCTCGTCTGTCCACACACCCGTCTTATCATCCCCCGCCCCAGCTCCTCACCCCCACACCTCAGAGCATGTGCGTGGTGGGCTCTGCTTCAGGATGATCCACAGACTGTTTTCTTTGCAGAAACACTGCAGGACCCGTCCCAGAGTCTCGGGTGTTCCTGCCCTGTGAACTCAAGGGTAAGACAGAGAACACCCAGAGCAAGCAGAGATTTGTGAAGAACGATGTGCCCTGAACTCGTTTACTGTGTTTTTTCAGTATGCTCCTAGCCAGGTGTGGGTTCAGGGCATTTATCTGTTCGTGTCATGCCCGCTTCTCCGAGTCAGAACCTGGTGTGTCAGAGGAGGGGCAGAGGTCACGGCCCAGCACTCTGAAGTGCAAGAGAAGGGTGTCGGGTCCCCGCAGCCCCCTGAATGGGGTGCTTCTTCCCAGAGAGGCTCGCAGCTCTGGCCATCCTTGGGCCCACACACCAGCTGTCCTCCTGCCCAGGAGTTAGCGTCCAGCTCTCTGGGAGCCAGGCCTCGTTCGAAGTGTCCGCAAGGAAGGCCAGGAGGCAGAGGCTTCGTCCTGGCGCGGGTCTCTCTCCACGGGGAGTCCAGGTGAGCCCTGATCCAGGGGCGGCCGCCTGGACGCAGCTCCAGCCCCAGCCTCCCCTGATGTGCGCAGCCATCAGGGCAGACGCCCGGGGAACAACTCTGACCCAGGAGGAGAGGCAGGCAGCCCACAGGCCTGCCACGCGACGCCCTGCCTCTGCCTGCTCTCAGAGACGCTGCTTCAGGGCCCAGGCATTGCAGGCCACTGAGGGCGCTTCCTCCGGGAGCCAGCAGGACGCTCTCCGCGCTGTTTGGGGAACCAGGGCCCTGCGCCCCTCGTCCTCAGCTCTGGGCCTTCGCGCTCCTGAGAAGAGGGCGTCTCCTCTACCAGGGACGCGGGCAGCCTCCGTGTGCCGAGGCTTGAAGGACTTGCCTCCCTCCGGCTGTATCCCCGTGGTTGAAGATGGGTTTACCAAGGATGAAAAAAGTGAGCTCGAAATGAGAAAGTGCTTTTCATTTTTTCTCCCTCTTCTCCCAACAGTAGATACATGGACTATAGCCCGCCAGGCTCCTCAGTCCATGGGTTTCTCCAGGCAAGAATACTGGAGTGGGTGGTCTTTCCCTTCTCCAGGGGATCTTCCCAACCCAGGGATTTAACATGGGTCTGCACCATGTTCAGACGACAATTTACCGTCTGAGCTACCAGTGAAGTCCCGAAAAGATACATAGGGGATGTCACATCCTTGTAACCATCAATTAAAAATCAAGAGATTTTTATATGTTATCTTTTCCATCTTAATTTTCCCTATGTGATTATTTTTAAGAAAGTAACATTGTATGTGAAAAATATTTCCCTACGTGGTTGAATCTGAAGGATCCTGCCAAAACAAAAGAAAAATCAGGCTGCTAGAAGGAAGCATTTTCAGAAGTTTTCCAAAAATGTCCAGAAGGGAGGAGGTTTCTGTGTTTTTCAACGTCTTTATTTCATGATCTGACTTTCAGCTCTAGAGAGGAAACAGAATTGGTCTCTGGCAAGCGCACCTCGACAGGTCTGGGTAACCCATCACAGAACCACCTCCCAGCACCAGCAAGGTCTGTCCCTCTTGGCCTCCTAACTCTCAGCCCAGTGAGTCCTGTCTGGGTATTGTTAGCAAGCGACCGTGCCTGTAGCTCTGCCTGCGGGCTCTCAGATGCCTTTTCTCAGCAGCCTTCAAACAGCAACGCTGAGCATGCCCTGTTCTACAAGGTTTCAGAACTTTGAGGACCTTTGTCCCTCTAAACTATTTTCTTCCATAACTTTGAAGACCTTTCTCCCTCTAAACTTGTTTCCTCTGTGAGTGCTGCATCCTTGCATAATGAAGACTGTCAACTCAAACAGCAGGGACGTCTCGGCGTCTCCCACGAGCGTGG